CATTTGACACCCTCATCACCTTACTCTTTTCTATGTTCACTTTCATTCTTTCTACCTTTACACACACATTCCCAAACTCATCCACTAACCTTTGCAATTTTTCTTTAGAATCTCCCCTAAGCACAGTTTCATCAGCAAAGTAACTGTGTCAATTCCCATTTTGAATTTGATTCTCCATATTTAATCCCCACCCCTCTCCAAAAACACTCCTAGCATTTACTTCCTTAAACAACCCCCATCTATAAATATATTAAACAACCTGGTGACATTACACATCCTGTCTAAGATCCTACTTTTACCGGGAATGTCTCCCTCACTTCTACACACCCTAACCTGAGCCTCACTTATCTTCAAAAAACTCTTTACAGCATTTTAATAACTTACCACCTATTCCATATACTTGCAACATCTGCCACATTCTCCTCTATCCACTCTATCATATGCCTTTTCTTAAATCCATAAATGCATAAAAATTCCACCTTTATCTAAATAATGTTCACATATTGACTTCATTGTAACACTTGATCTACACATACCCTACCCACACTGAAACCTCCTTGCTCATCCGCATCCTACATTCTGTCTTACCTCTAATTCTTTCATTATAACCCTACGTACACTTTTCTGGTTATACTCAGTTTAAGCTTATTCCTCTATAATTTTTACAAGTCTCTTTTGTCCCCTTTCCCTTTATATAAGGGACTATACATGCTCTCCGCCAATCCCTAGGTTACCTTCCCCTCTTTCATACCATTTATGAAACAAAAGTACCCGACACTCCAACACTATATCCCCCAGCTTTTAACATTTTTCTGTTCATGATCCCATCAGTCCAGCTGCTTTACCCCCTTTCATTTTTTACGTAATGCTCACGTACCCTCCCCCACACTTACATTTGCTCTTCTTCACTCCTAAAAGATGGTATACCTCCCGGACCAGTGCTGAAATTACTGCCTCTGTTTCTTCCTTAACATTTAAAAGTTCCTCAAATTATTCCTCGCCATCTACCTAATACCTCCATCTCCCCATCTATACTAACCCCCTACTTGTTTTTAACTGACACAAATCCATATTTTCCCTTGGCTTCTTAACTTGTTTAACTCACTCCAAAATTTTTCTTATTTTCATTAAAATTTCTTGACAGAGCCTCTACCCGACTCTATCATCTGCTCTCCTTTTGCACTTCTCACCACTCTCTTTTACATTTCTTTTACTCTCCATATATTCTGCTCTTCCATAACACTTCTGCTTTGTAAAAACCCTCTCATAAGCTACCTTTTTCTGCTTTTATCACCACCCTTTACTTCTATGTCCCACCACATCACTCCTCTTTCCTCCTGCCCCCACCCTCCTATAACCACAAACTTCTGCACCACATTCTTAATACTGCATTTTAAAACTTTTCCAACCCTTCTTCAACCCCCCCATTTACTATCTTTGCACTATCCCACCTTTTGCCAATAGTCGCTTATATTCGCCCGAACTTCTCCTCCCTTAGTTTATACACTTTCACTCCCCTCTTACTTGTTGTTGCACCTTTCCTCTTTTCCCATCTACCTTTACTTCTAAACTGTAGTACAACTAATTAATGATCCGATATATCAGTTGCCTCTATAAACATGTACATCCTGGAGCTCCATCAACCTTTTATCCACCCAAATACATAATCTAATAAAAATACTTTCCTTAGTGCTACATCATACCTTGTATTATTTATTTATCCTCTTTTTCATAAAATATGTATTACTTACTTACCAAATTTTCGTTCTACACATAGCTCAATTAAGGCTCCCCATTTACATTTACCCCTGGCACCCAATTTACCTACTTATCCTCCATAACATTTTTACCACTTTAGCATTGAAATCCCCAACCACCATACTCTCACGGCTTGATTCAAAACTCCCCACGCATTCACTCAATCATTTCCAAAATCTCTCTCTCTCCTCTACACTTCTCTCTTCTCCAGGTGCATACACGCTTATTATAACCCACTTTTCACATCAATCATTTATTTTTACTCACATAATCCTTGAATTAATCAATTTATAGTCCCTCTTTTCCTGAATAGCTTCTCCTTCAACATTATTGCTACTCCTTCTTTAGCTCTAACCTCTATTTGTAACCCCTGACCTATCCCCATTTATTCCTTCCATTGAAACTCTCCCACCCCCTTTCAGCTTTGTTTCAATTAAAGCAAGGCATCAGCTTCTTCTCATTCCATAACATACAATCATCTTCTTTTCTTATCATCTGCACCCAACATCCACGCACATTCAGACTCCCACTTTGGACAATTTGCATTGTTCTTCTTCTTATTCTTATTCTTATATATATATATATATATATATATATATATATATATATATATATATATATTTTATATATATATATATATATATTATAATATATATATATTATATGACTTGCCGAAATAGGTAAAAACTGGTCAATTAGCAAGAACATCATTTAAAATTAATTCCTTTATGAATTTTCTCTTCTTAGTTTAAAGATATATTTTTTTTCATTATGTTAATGTAAAAAATTAATTTTGCCACCAAAAGAATCTTAGAAAAATTTACCTAACCTTATTTTAAGAAGAGCATTTATTTTAGCCAACCCAATAAATATATTTTTTTAAATAGTTTACAATAATTAATAACTAAACAAACACAAATTTTGAATATATTTTTTCGTTAGGTTTAGAATATGATTTTGGTGAAATTAGTGCCACACACAAATTTTTAATTGTCCTATATGGCAAAATGGCGTTGTATTTAAGCAAGATCGCAAGTTCTGCTATTCGGCACGATATATATAATTTATATCTATATATTATATATTATATATATATATATAATTATTATATAACCCCCCCTTATATTATATATATATATATATACATATATATTTTCAACAAGTCGGCCCGTCACTCCCACCGAGGCAGGGGGTGACCCAAAAAAGAAAGAAAATCCCCAAAAAGAAAATCATTCATCATCATTCAACACTTTAACATCACTCACACATTATCATGCTTTTGCAGAGGTGCTCAGAATACAACAGACTAGAAGATACACATATAAAGATACACAACATATCCCTCCAAACTGGCAATATTCCAACCCTCCTTTAAATTGCAGGCATGTATTCCCATTTCCAGGACTCAAGTCCGACTATATGAAAAATAAACCGGTTTCCCTGAATCCCTTCACTATATATTACCCTGCTCACACTCAACAGATCGTCAGGTCTCAAGTATCATTCGTCTCCATTTCACTCCTATCTAACACGCTCCATGTTATATATAATATATATATAGATCTATATATATTTATATTTATATATATATATATATATATATATATATATATATATATATATTATATATTCAAAAGTTGGTCGTCTTCCCACCGAGGCAGGGTGACCCACAAAGAAGAAAAAAGAAAATCCCCAAAAGAAAATACTTTCATAATCATTCAACCACTTTACCACACTCTCACATTATCACTGCCTTTGCAGAGGTGCTCAGGATAGGCCAAGCCCATGATGACACTCTTCAGGTCACTGTTTCTATTAGGCTGGAATATTGCTGCACACTAACAGCACCTTTCAAGGCAGGTGAAATTGCCGACCTAGAAAATGTACGAGGAACCTTCACTGCGCGCATAACGGGAGATAAAACACCTCAATTACTGGGGAGCGTTGAGGTTCATAACCTGTATTCCCTGGAACGCAGGAGGGAGAGATACATGATTATATACACCTGGAAAATCCTAGAGGGACTAGTACCGGAACTTGGCACACGAAAATCAATCACTACGAATAGCAAAAGACTTGGCAGGACGATGCACCATCCCCCCAATGAAAAGCAGGGGTGTCACTAGCACGTTAAGAGAGACCTACAATAAGTGTCAGGGGCCCGAGACTGTTCAACTGCCTCCCAGCATACATAAGGGGGATTACCAACAAACCCCTGGCAGTCTTCAAGCTGGCACTGGACAAGCACCTAAAGTCGGTTCCTGACCAGCCGGGCTGTGGCTCGTACGTTGGTTTGCGTGCAGCCAGCAGTAACAGCCTGGTTGATCAGGCTCTGATCCACCAGGAGGCCTGGTCACAGACCGGGCCGCGGGGGCGTTGACCCCCGGAACTCTCTCCAGGTATATGTATGTTTACATCTGCTGCATGTATGTTTACGTTCGTTGTGATTGGCCAGGCCGCAATACAAAGCGTTGATTGGCTCTAATGTGCAGCTCGCTCCAAAAAAAAAATATTAGTTTTGCTAATATCTCCCAAAATAACAATTTCTACAAATTTTATACAACTTTTTATTCATTTCTAATTAATAATCTACTGTACAACTATGAAATAATTACTATCCTACTGTACAACTATGATATAATCCTTAGTGTTAAGTAGTCTGTAAGCCAATAATGTTAAGTTGGCTCATAATGCCTAGGCATAATAGAGGCTCTCTTTGTATTGCAACCCATTATTGTAAATACAAAATCTCTATGTACTGTTTGCAAAGACATAAAATAAATAAATAACTGTTGGTTCCTTGACGAGCGTCTTTCAGTTATAACTATATTTTTCGGTGCTGAATGCATTTAAGGTAGTTATAGTTGGCTGCACTATATATTTTTGTCTGTACTGTGCCAAGTCGCTGTTAATATTGATATGGTACAATGTTACTATAATCAGTCTTTGAATATTACAAGTGTTGGTATAAAAAAGATGTACTCAATAGTTAGACTCGTGCTTCATTTTCATTCATTGTTTTATAGCTTTAATCTCTTTTGAAAATATACTGCCTCATTTTATTTTTATCATGAATTATTAAAATAAAGTACGAATGATTTTTTATTATTTTTTATTGCCTGTCATGGTATATTATGGTAAAATACTATGTGTAAACAAAAGCTATTACTAGCGTATGAGCCCTACTACATTCCAGGGTTACAAAGACTCGTCTTAGTATTGGTATTGGTGTTTGAGCCACTAAGGATGCAGCAGAGGCTAGTCACTGAGCTTCTCATTGATGGTAGTCCTCTCGGAAGACCCCTTAGGTAACTCCGAGACGGGGGTTCACATGTCACACAACGGAACCCAAAACATTTCACGCGATGATGCTGGAGAGGTTACACGTGTCTTCATCTTCAAGAATGGAGGGGGTGACCCTGCAGGCTGTGAAGGACAAGGATTGGCACCATTATCCCGAGCATCCTCCATAAGTACCAGCACTAGTCAACATGGCGGCAGTGTCAGTGATAACGGAGGGATGGGTAATAGTGACAGTGAAAATGTTATTAATGGGATGCTAAGGACGGGGGAGGAAGATGTGGACCCCTCCACCGATCTAGGTGCTGATCTGCAACACATAGAAGAGTGGTTAAAAACTCGCAGTGATAGCCTTTCCAGTTTTGATTTTGACCCAGAAATCAAACCCTCTGAAATTGATGTTAATGATTTTTTCAACCTGAAAAGCGGGGTTCAGTTTCATGTAAGTGGTCAGGACTGTGGCTTAGTATTTTCTAAAGATAGTGCAAGTGATTCTGGTACTTCGTCAGGTACATTATTGCCTAATCAGTTTTCCTTCCCTGACCTGTGTGATACATTGGGTGGCTCTGGCAGCCGCAGGAACAGCTTCACAAAAAAGCTCGAAACTCTTATGCAAGTAGACAAGGGACTCTTTGAGGAGCTCTTGTTAACAGATGCCAACAAAAAGTACGGTAACAAGAAATTGGAAAACATGCCGTCATTACCCGTGGAAGATCGAGGACTGTTCGAGGAATTATTGTTACCCGGAGCACAGGAGGAGTGGGCCAAGCATGCTCAGGAACTGCTTTTGGCAGTATCATTAGAGAAAAGAGAATTAAATACTCCGAGCCAAGTAACGAGTGAGAGCGTATCCCTTCCTGAGCCTTCAGAATGTAGTGCACCTTTGTCGGAGAATGCTCAAGAGATGACAAGTGATCATGAATCCTCTGATGAACTAGAGCTCATGGTTAGAAATATTCAACCAATTAAGTTGATGAGTCCACAAGAGATTGAGAATATGGCTTCACGACCACTTGGCTTTGATGAAACTCCAATCAAAATGGAAGCTCAGAGAAATAGGGAAGTTACTAGTCAGATGGAAGAAGATTTTACCTTCATTCCATTTGGTCGTCAAGTCTGTGAAGATAACAACACACTGCCACCTGATCTTCTGACGAGTCCAAATAGTGAGGTAGACAGCAAGCTTTCTAGTATATTGGCAATGGATGCCTCCAATGACACTTTAGAAATTTCAAGTTCAGAGACTAGTGACATGCTAGAAAATCTTGGAAAAGCACCTCATAAATTGGAAAGAAGCATCTCTCCTGGGACATTCCTAGTCAAATTGGAACCGAGGGAAAATCGAGATGGATGTAACAAAAGCATTGCATCAACATGTGTATCCACATCTAGTCAGCTCACAACTGCAGCTATGCCACCCCCTTCAACAACATTTACAAATACAACAGCATCCTTTCAGCCGGTTTCAGTTCTGAATCCAAATGACAATGTTATCACAGCCATAGCCAAAACATCAGCTACGGCTAATTGCAGCTTAGTTACTGCTGTAAGTTCAAGCTCTACTGTAAGTGTCACAACTGCGACCACTACTACTGCATCAGTTAATTTGGCTCCTAAAGGGCTTTTAAAAATGCCTTCTGGCCCAGTTCGAACCGAAATTAAAAAATTACCTATTGGTATGGTTCAACTACGTCTAGCAGCACCACAACCAGTTACATCGTTGGGTGCTGCTATAACAACTGCTACTGCAACTTCAGGTCCACAAATGGCTAGGCCTACTTTTATATTAAGACCATTAATTACACCTGGACAGCAGTTGCAACAGCAGCCACCTCGACAGCAAATCACAACACCTGAAAACTTCGTAAGTTCCAAGGACAATGCCCCATTAACCTTCACACCACTTAAAATGGTAACAGTGCAGCCAAATAAACCAGGCATTGCAAATGTTACAATCACAGTTGACCGAAAGGCAAATTCGACTACTGTTAACATTGTATCTTCAAACAGTGAGCATACAGTATTTAAGATCAACACTTGTGATTTGGTACGAGCTGTTTCTAGCATCCGTGAGCCACATTTGGATCCCTTGGGTCTTACTCCTCAACAGCTGTTGCGCTCTGCTCACACTGCTCACCGTCTTATCCAAGAGGTTCATCAACAGGGAGCTGCACGCCAGGCCAAAGGCACAGGAAAAGATGCTCCCTCAGGCCCTCAGAATTTTGAAATCAATCAGCCATTACAAGAGGTGAAGGCACCAGTCTCCAGAATGCAACAAGGACAGTTAGCACTGTTGCGACGTGCAGCAGCAGCAGCAGCAGTCACCACAGCAGTTTCAACAAGTGTGGCAAATACTACTAGCCAAAGTGTAACAAGTCAAGTTGTCACAAGTAGTGGTATTTGTACAAATATTGGGTCACCCATTATGGGAGGAGCTTCAGTGCTTACAACAGCCTCTTCATCAGGGTCTGTTCTAATCCCTACAACAGTAAATGCATCTGTTTTAAGTACAGTCAAAGGCACAGTTTCAACATTTGCATCACAGAAAATGCAAGTAGACACCATTGTATCACCACTTCGCCCAGAGATGAGGACTTCACGCCAGACTTCTGTCGCCAGTGCTGACAAATCTCACAGTAAATGATTTCATTTCTGTTGTCTTGAAGGGCATTAAGCTGACTGGATTAGATTGTCATATTCTTTATTCATATTAACTTTACATGAATATTGTATTGTAATAACTTTACAGTACTATTATATTGTATAAATAATTAGTTGTGACTTGTTTTACAGTAGCTAATTGTTTAATATTCAGTCATATTGCTTTATTTTTTATAAGCTATTATATTTGCTCAGTACAACTTCAAAAAATACAGGCAGACCCTGCTCATACAGCAGGTTAGGTTCTGGGCTGCCACTGTAAAGTGAAAAAGTTTTTTTCATTTTCAAATTCATAAAAAAGCCTGGTAACATCTATTAAATGAGCAATAGAGAAAGGTCTAAAAAATGCAAATGCAGTACACACATTACTTACCTTAAAATATTTTTGTTCTTAGCTTATGAAGAGTGGTGAATACATTTATTGTAGGAAGTCTGAATAAATAAAAATGGGTATACGTAATTGAAAACCACTGCATTAGTGAAATGCAGTAAAGCAAAGCACTGCAAAACGGAGTCCTCCTGTACTGTAAAATGCATTGTAAATTTATTTTCTTGTACCATTAATTAATCGTAACATTAAGACTTAAAATGTAATAACATTGTCTAATATTTAGCCTAGTAGTCGTTCAGTTCAGCTTAAAATGTTTTTTAATCTGTACACTTATTTTAATATCTCAGTATGTTTAAAAAATTTTGAATTTCAGTGAGTGAGAGTGTGAGTGAGTGAGAGTGTGAGTGAGTGAGTGAGAGTGTGAGTGAGTGAGAGTGTGAGTGAGTGAGTGTGAGTGAGTGAGAGTGTGAGTGAGTGAGAGTGTGAGTGAGTGAGAGTGTGAGTGAGAGTGTGAGTGAGTGAGAGTGTGAGTGAGTGAGTGTGAGTGAGTGAGTGTGAGTGAGTGAGTGTGATGAGTGAGAGTGTGAGTGAGAGTGTGAGTGAGAGTGTGAGAGTATGAGTGAGAGTGTGAGTGAGAGTATGAGTGAGAGTGGAGTGTGAGTGAGAGTGTGAGTGAGAGTGTGAGTGAGAGTGTGAGTGAGAGTGTGAGTGAGAGTGTGAGTGAGAGTGTGAGTGAGAGTGAGAGTGTGAGTGAGAGTGAGAGTGTGAATGTGAGTGAGTGTGAGAGTGTGAGTGAGAGTGTGAGTGTGTGTGTGTGTGTGTGTGTGTGTGTGTGTGTGTGTGTGTGCGTGCGTGCATGAGTGCGTGCGTATGTGTGCATGTTTTCATGCACACTAATTGCATTAAAAATTAATATATGTGTATATATATATACACATACACACTCACTTTTTTGACCCTTTCAGGGTCGAGAGGTACTCTCCTAAACTCGTTCTCAGGGTCGAAAATTTTTTTGAAAAAAAAAAAAAAATTTTCTTATGAAATGATAGAGAATATTTTCCCGATCATAATGACAACAAAAGTATGAAATTTGATGGAAAACTTATGGAATTATGCTCTTGCGAAGTTAGCAGTCTCGACGATGTTTACGCATCGGCGATTTCGCCCACTTTGAGCCCTATTTTTGGCAAATTTCAGTATACTAGTCGACAAAAGTCGTATCTATTTTGCTAGAACTCCATTTTTTCTATCGAATGAGTACAAGAAACCACCCATTTACTGATTTCAAGTATCCAATAAAGTCAGAAATTGGCAATTTTGCCAATTTCACACAAATTTCAGAAGATGCCGATTTCTAAATAGGGTCCAGAGTAAGCAAGACAGACATTCCTGGCACTAAAATAAGAACATAAGAAAGAAGGAACACTGCAACAGGCCTGCTGACCCATGCGGAGCAGGTACATCTCTCTCCCCTCCCCCCAGATTAGACCAGTGGCCCCCCCCCCTCAGATTAGCCCAATGACCCACCCAGTCTGGTCACCTCCACTCAAGGAAGGAGCACTGCACCAGACCCAGCAGCACAAGGTAGTCAGGTCCAACTCACACCCACTCATGTATTTATCTAGCCTATTTTTAAAACTACACAACGTTTTAGCCTAAAAACTGTACTCGGGAGTTTGCTCCACTCATCAACAACTCTATTACCAAACCAGTGCTTTCCTATATCCTTCCTGAATCTGAATTTTTCCAACTTGAAACCATTGCTGCGAGTCCTGTCTTGGCTGGAAATTTTCAGCACGCTATTTACATCCCCTTTATTTATTCCTGTTTTCCATTTATACACCTCGATCATATCCCCCCTAATTCTACGCCTTTCGAGAGAGTGCAGATTCAGGGCCCTCAGTCTTTCCTCATAGGGAAGATTTCTGATACATGGGATCATCTTTGTCATCCTCCTCTGTACGTTTTCTAGAGCATTTATATCCATTCTGTAATACGGTGACCAGAACTGAGCAGCATAGTCTAAATGAGGCCTAACCAAGGATATATAGAGTTGAAGAACAACCTGAGGACTTCTATTATTTATACTTTTTGATATGAAGCCAAGAATTCTGTTAGCTTTATTGCGAACACTAATGCACTGTTGTCTTGGTTTTAGATTACTGCTAACCAGAACTCCTGAATCCTTTTCGCAATCAGTAGTATTAAGATCTACATTATTTAGTTTATATGTCGCATGGTTATTTAACTGTCCAACATTTAGAACTTTGCATTTGTCAATATTAAACTGCATCTGCCACTTCTCCGACCATTGCGTCAGTCTATTCAAATCATCCTGGAGTGCTCTAGTGTCCTCATTAGAATGAATTGGACGGCCTATTTTGGTGTCGTCAGCAAATTTGCTTATGTCATTATTTATTCCCTCATCTATGTCGTTTATGTAAATTGTGAACAACAACGGGCCCAACACTGACCCCATGAGGAACACCGCTTGTGACGTGCCCCCATTTTGATTTCTCCCCATTTATGCAAACTCTCTGCTGTCTATTTGTCAGCCATGCCTCTACCCAAGAAAAAATTTCTCCTATTCCTTGTGCCTTAAGTTTCCTCAATAGCCTCTGGTGTGGAACTCTATTGAAAGCCTTACTGAAGTCCATATACACAATATCATATTCATTACCATGATCTACCTCCTCAAACACCTTAGTGAAAAAAGTTAGTAAATTCGTAAGACAGGAACACCCCTTTGTAAAACCGCGTTGAGAGTCATTAATCAATCTGTGCCTGTCAAGATGGCTACGAATTGCTTCGGCAGTTATTGGTTCCATAAATTTTCCCACTATGGAGGTAAGGCTTATTGTTCTGTAATTCGAAGCCAAGGACCTGTCACCTGCCTTGTAAATAGGTATTACATGTTGAGGTGGTTCAGACATGTAGACAGAATGGAGCGAAACAGAGTGACTTCAAGAGTGTATCAGCCTGTAGTGGAAGGAAGGCGGGGTAGGGGTCGGCCTAGGAAAGGTTGGAGGGAGGGGGTAAAGGAGGTTTTGTGTGCGAGGGGCTTGGACTTCCAGCAGGCATGTGTGAGCGTGTTTGATAGGAGTGAATGGAGGCAAATGGTTTTTAATACTTGACGTGCTGTTGGAGTGTGAGCAAAGTAACATTTATGAAGGGGTTCAGGGAAACCGGCAGGCCAGACTTGAGTCCTGGAGATGGGAAGTACAGTGCCTGCACTCTGAAGGAGGGGTGTTAATGTTGCAGTTTAAAAACTGTAGTGTAAAGCACCCTTCTGGAAAGACAGTGATGGAGTGAATGATGGTGAAAGCTTTTCTTTTTCGGGCCACCCTGTCTTGGTGGGAATCGGCCAGTGTGATAATAAAAAAAAAAAAAATAAAAAATTTACCATTTTCCACTTATCAGGCACTATGCCAATTTGTAGTGATATGTTTAAAATATTAGCCAAAGGTATGCTATAATAATTTGTAGTGATATGTTTAAAAGATTAGCCAAAGGTATGCTAAATTCCTCTTTACATTCCTTTAACACCCTTGCAAACAGTTCATCAGGGCCTGGGGATTTGTTAGGTTTTAGTTTCTCTATTTGTCTGAGGACCATGCCGCTAGTTACCGCAATCATACATAGTTTATTATCATCCTGTTCTACATAATCTATTATTTCAGGAATATCGCTAGTATTTTCCTGGATGAAAACTGAGAGGAAGTAGGTATTGAGAACTTCACACATATCCTTATCACTGTCAGTGATCTGACCAGAGTTACTCTTAAGTGGGCCAATCTTGTCCCTAATCTTACTTCTGTATACCTGAAAGAACCCTTTTGGGTTAGGCTTTGAATCCCTTGCGACCTTAGCCTCATTTATTTCTCTCTTAATTGAATATATTGATTTCTTAACTGCCCATCCCCTCTTTTGATACGCCTATATATGCCTCTCTTTTGACCAGTGAGATGTTTTAATCTATTGTTCATCCATTTGGGATCATTTTTGTTAGATATAATCTCCCTACTCGGAACTAAAGTTGTCTGGGCAGCTAGAACTATGCTCTGAAAAACGTCATATTGGCAACCAAGATTACCTATCTGACTCATAGTCAGGACATCCCAATTTAGCCCATCCAGGTAATTTTTCAGTCCCATGAAGTCGGCCAAGTGAAAATCTGGGACAGAAATTTGATTGGAGTTATCTGGGTAATTCCATGATATATTGAAATTAAGTGATTTGTGATCACTTTCCCCAAGCTCATCATTAAGCTCAAGATTATTAACCCTTTGAGGGTCGAGAGGCCCTCTCCGAAACTCGTTCTCAGGGTTGGCCAAATTTAAAAAAAAAAAAAATTATTTTCTCTTATGAAAAGATAGAGAATCTTTTCCCGATCATAAAGACACCAAAAGTTTGAAATTTGATAGAAAACTTACGGAATTATGCTCTCGCAAAGTTAGCGGTCTCGACGATGTTTACGCATCGGCGATTTTGCCTACTTTGAGCCCCATTTTCGGCCAATTTCACTGTACTAGTCGACAAAAAACATGAATATTTCGCTAGAACTCCATTTTTTCTATCGAATGGGTGCAAGAAACCACTCATTTATGAAATCCAACTATCCAGTACAGTGGTCAGAATTTAGCAATTTTGCCAATTTCACACAAATTTCAAAAGATGCCAATTTCCGAATAGGGTCCAGAATAAACAAGAAAGACATTCCTGGCACTAAAATGACATTTCCTTTAGTCATTAGTCATGTCTCAAGGCCCCTCTTGTATTCTTTTGCTTTCCACTTTGAATTTTTATTTTCACAAAAAATATAAGATTTACTGTTATGCAGACTACTGCATTAGTGTAAAAAATGGTATAAATATTATTGGTGCACTTGTGAAAGAATATTAGACTCTCCAGTTGACGTGTATTGCACGCTTGGCACGATTTGTTTACTTTTGAAGTTTGGTAAAAATCGAACATTTCTGCTGCTTCGAGCTCAATTTCAAGGCACCTTTCTTTGTAAAACCAGTCAAAATCATCTCAATTTCTGTAATATGTCTTCCATTCTATAAAATGAGACCAAGAAAACTAGAATACAACAATAAATACCATACGAAAATACACTGCAAAGTCGCTGATTTATTCAAAAAAAATGGTCAAAGTTTTTTTTTTCTCATTATGCACTGTGTGCTGCAGGATTTTTTTTAGACTGTGCACACTGACCACATAGACCCATTCTTTCATATGAAGGCCTACCAGCTTTCTCCCACTAGATTTGAGGCCGCTAGAATTTATGAGTACTAGTACGTCAAAAACCCCTACGCGTAAGACGTACTAGTACGACGAAAACCCTCAAAGGGTTAATTAGTGAATCTTTGTTGGCAAGAACCAAGTCAAGCAGATTGCTTCCTCTAGTTGGTTCTGTCACAACCTGTTCTAAAAAGCAATCCTGAACTGTATCAAGAAAGTCACTAGACTCAAAATTTCCTGTCATATTGTTCCAATCAATTTGTCTAAAGTTAAAATCTTCATTAGTCATGTCCCCAGGCCCCTCTGACATCTCTTTTGCTTTCCACTTTGAATTTTTATTCTCACAAAAAGTAGAAGATTTATTGTTTTTGGAGACTACTGCATTAGTGTAGAAATGGTATAAATAATGTCAGTGCACTTGTGGAAGAATATTAGACTCGCCAGTTAATGTGTATTGGACGCTTGGCATGATTTGTTTACTTTTGAAATTTGGTAAAAATCGAACATTTCTGCTATTTTGAGCTCAATTTCAAGGTACTTTTCATTATGAAACCAGTCAAAATCATCTCAATTTCTGTAATATGTCTTCCATTCTATAAAATGAGACCAGGAAAACTAGAATACGACCATAAATACCATACAAAAATACACTGCAAAGTCGCTGTTTTAAACCAAAAACACGGTCAGAGTTTTTTTTTTCTCATTATGCACTGTGTGCTGCAGGATTTTTTTTTATACTGTGCACACTGACCACATAGACCCATTCTTTCATATGTAGGCCTACCAGCTCTCTCACTAGATTTGAATTCGCTAGAATTTAGGCGTTCTAGTATGTCAATAACCCTGGTGCGTAAGCCGTACTAGTACGTCAGAAACCCTGAAAGAGTTAACAATTTACAAACAGGCAAAATTATATACAAACATTATCTTTCAGCCCACAGCAGGATTTGAACCGGCACACACTCATCCTTTGATGCAGGACATCCTTTGATGCAGGACATATATATGTATTCATATTTACAAGCGGTATTTCTCAATTCATGCGTGTGCGCGTGCACATGCACACACGCACACACGTGCACACACGCACACACGTGCACACACGTGTACACATGTGCGCACATGCACACGCACACATGCACACACACACACACCACACACACAACACAACACACACACACACACACACACACACACACACACACACACACACACACACACACACACACACATGCATACTTACATTTATTTATGTATTTATTAAGAATTCTTTGGTTCAATTAATGGTTTTTATCCATCTAGTTTTAATTATACATGATAACTTAATTTTATTCCTTAAGAATATAAAGAAGTGCTACAATAAGCCTTATCCTAAGGGAACCCTACTCATACCCAACCATTCCCAATTAAGCACTTGTCTAGTCTATTTTCAAAGCTACCCATGGTATTAACCCCTTGACTGTCACAACCCGCCAGTCCTGAGGTGTCTCCTGGTGTCGCAAAATTTCCAAAAAAAAAAAAAATTGTTTTTTCTTATAAAATGATAGAGAATCTTTTCCCGATTGTAATGATACCAAAAGAACGAAATTTGATGGAAAACTGACGGAATTACGCTCTCGCAAAGTTAGCGACCTCGGTGATATTTACAAATCAGCGATTTTGCCCACTTTGAGTCCTATTTTTGGCTAATTCCATTGTTCCAGCCGACCAAACTCATAGCTATTTCTTTAGAACTCCATTTTTTCTATCGATTGAGTACAAGAAACTGCCCATTTACCGATTTCAACTACCCAATAATGTAGTCAGAAATTTGCAATTTGGCCAATTTCACGAAAATTAAAAAATATGACAATTTCAAAATAAGGTCCAGAATGAACAATACAGACATTCCTGGCTCTAAAATAACATTTTCTTTGTTCATCAGTCACGTCTCCAGGCCCCTCTGATATTACTCTTGCTTTCTATTTAGAATTTTTATTCAAACAAAAAATAGAAGATTTACTGTTATGCAGACTACTGCAATATTGTAATAATTGTACAAATAATGTCAACCCATTCATGACTGCATATTAGAATGGCTACTTGGACATTTATTGGAAAATGACATCATTTGTTTACTTTGGAACATCGGCAAAAATCAGACATTTTCCCTACTTTGAGCTCCATTTCAAGGTTATTTTCATAGTAAAACCAATGAAAATCACCTCTATTTCTATAATATGTTTTCCATACTATCAAATGAGACCAAGAAAACAAGAATACACCTACCATCTGACTTACGACCTGCTCAACTTACGACGACTCGACTTAAGACCGTGTTTTTTATGCCAAATTTTTGGGAAATAAACAAGTGTTTGTGTTGTACAGAGTGTTTATCCTAAACCTTACAGTATAAAATACAGTACTAACAGCATAAAAAGTAAAGTAAAACATGAAATACCAAAATAAAACAATAAAATAGTCATTACAAAAATGTTATGTTGATATTCAGTAGTAAAGTTCGACTTACGTCCATTTTGACTTACGACCGGTTTCTCGGAACCAAACTCGATCGTAAGTTGGATGGTAGGTGTACAACCATAAATACTATACGAAAATAGACGGCCGGATTTTTTTTCCTTATTATGCACTGCGTGCTGCAGGATTTTTTTTATATGGTGCACACTGACCACACAGACCCATTCTCTCACATGTGGGCCTACCAGCTTTCTCCTGCTTGATTTGAAGCCGCTAGAATTTATGAGTATATATACGTCAAACACGGTGGCTCGTAAAACGTATATATACGACCGAAACAGTCAAAGGGTTAAGGTCATTGATGTTACTTGACAATTTATTTCACATGACTTGAGGTGTAGTATTTCCAAACTAGTGCTCTCCTATATCATTTAGTATGGATTTTAATCAGTTAGGTGGATCTCAAAGGGGATGAAGTAGTTAAGGCTATCCTTATTGTATTCGATCACAAAAGTTGCTGCCAACTAGTATTATTTGAATGCTTCACCTAGGAACTACTACTTAACCTATAAAATGGGCTACTTTCAAATCCTCTCTTTGGTTGCTCAGACAATGTTTGGTGTGTGTAAATGCATGAAGAGTTCTATTTCATTTTTCTCTTTGGTAAAAGTTCTATTGATCAGATCATCAATCAGTTGGCTTTTTCTGGGACTGGGCTGCTGGGTAGACATTTAGTAGACCTCTGGAGTTGTATGTCCATAATTTAGGGTTAGACTGTAAAATAAAAAAATTAGGAAGCCCATATTTTTATTGTAGGTGGTAGTTACCTAGGAAAATTGCTATATGCTGTATTCATTTTAAAATGATATAATATCAGATTCCTTATTCTGCATTTTTTCTTTTGTAAGTAGTTAAGAGTGAAGGTGTTGGGGTATCCCTGCGTCCTGGAGCACCTCCAACCATGGTCTCAGTGCCTTCTGTCCTGGACACTCTCTCAGCTTCCTCATTGGTACCCGCTGACCTCCTACAAACATCATCGCTATCACCTTCTTCCAGTCACGTACCAAGTGATGATGATCTCAATGATGAAAACCCTGAAATGTGTACGGGTGAGTTATGAAAAGACTTTTTTTTATAACACTTCCTTAGGAGAAGTTACCAAGGCTGGTAGATGAGTTTGAGAGGCTGTGGAAAAAAAACTATTAAAAGTAGCATAGAAAAAGAACAAGGCAGTGAGAATAAGAAAGAGTGTAAGTGTGAAAAAGTAAATGTCAGGTTATTGGAAGGAAGTGTGGAGAAAGTGAATGTATTTTGGTATTTGACAGGACATGTTAGAAGATAGGTCTACGAACCATAGATGAAGGAAAAAAGTGGCAAGTTGAGTGTTGAAGTGTTTATGGAGAGAAAGTTTATTTATGATATGGGTGTAGGGAATGTGCTTTAAATGTTGCAGCAAAGGGGAAGCTGGAGGCAGTGGAAATGTCATATTTGAGAGCAATTTGTGGAGTGAATCTTATGCAAAGAATTCGGAGCATAGCAGTTAGAAGAAGGTATTATTCAGAGGGCAGAGAAGGGGTGTGAGGAAGGTTTTAAGTGGTGGAGTTTGAGCATCCAGCCAGCATGTGCGAGTGTGATTGAGTAGAGTGTTTGAGACAGGTGGGTTCAGGAATTTGATTTGCTCCTAGAGTGTGAGCAGTGGAACATTTATGAAAGGATTCAGGGGAAGTGGTTATCCATACTTGAGTCCTGGACAACACCTGCACTCAATGGAAATAAGCCACTCTGACTTTTTTGAGTTATCCTAGGTTCTCTGCTATGTATGATAATCAGTGTAACTGTATTTGTATACCTAAATAAACTTACTTATGGAAGGAGAGGCAGGGATGTTACAGTTAGGAATATCACTTGAATTGTGATGTCTGCACACTTCTGGCTAGACAGCTGTTGAATGAATGATGGTGAATGTTTACCTTTTTGGGTCACCTTACCTTAGTGGGAAATGGCCAGTGTGGTAAAAAAAAGATACTGTATTAATAAACTTTTTTTTTTTCTGTAATGTTTTCAGTTTTTCCTGAAAGTTCTTTAATAGGGATATATCAGATTGTTTTATTCTCTTGGTTACTTGAGTATATGTACTTGCAGTATCTGATGAGGTTGCCAACAAGGCCTTTGAAGAACTTGGTATTCACATAGATTCCCTGAAGTGCGAGCCTTCACCACAGGGTGGTAAATACTGGCTTTGCCCCATCAAAGGCTGCTGCAAGAATTTTCCAAAACTTTCTTCTCTTAAGGTATTGATTTGCTATTCCTTTTTTATTATGTAAGATATTTCCAAGGGGCTAGTAACCCCTTCTCCTGTATAAATGACTAAATTTAAAAAGAGAAACTTTTGTTTTTCTTTTTGGGCCACCCTGCCTAGGTGGGATATGGCCGGTGTGTTAAAAGAAAGAAAGATTTCCATAGGACAGCACATTTTAGTTTCACTGTTAATAGCACAGTTTAATTCATTATTTTCATGGGATAATACAGTGGATAAAAGATCATCTTGAACTCTCGTAAGATAAATGACGAAATGAATGAATGAAGCTGGTCGTGTACACATGCCACCAGCTTCACCTCTTGCTTCAAGACATGACTACTACATCTCTGGCACAGAATACCAGATCATAGACATTTCTGTCTTATAATGACATATTACATGTTTCACATGTACATTGGACCCCCGCCTTACAAACGCATCGCGTTATGTTAAATCCGCCATACGAAGCATTTGAACGCAAAAATTTTGCCTCGACTCACGATAAAAAACTCACCTTACGTGATTCGTCCGGGACGCGTCCCATGTGTGGCCTCAGCTGCCCCGTGGGTGCCAGTGTTTACAAGCCAGCCAGTGCAGTCACATCTAAGCATACATTCAGTACATTTCATATTATCACTGTTTTTAGTGCTTGTAATTGCAAAATAAGTCACCATGGGCCCCAAGAAAGCTTCTAGTGCCAACCCTGTGGTAAAAAGGGTGAAAATTACTATGGAAATGAAGAAAGAGATAATTGCTAAGTACGAAAGTGGAGTGTGTGTCTCGGAGCTGGCCAGATTGTATGCCAAACCCCAATCAACCATCGCTACTATCTTGGCCAACAAAACGACAATCAAGGAAGCTGTTCTTGCAAAAGGTGCAAGTTTGTTTTCGAAACAGAGATCGCAAGTGATAGATGATGTTGAGATACTGTTATTGGTGTGGATAAACGAAAAACAGATAGCAAGAGATAGCATCTCTCTAGCAATCATATGTGAAAAGGCTAGGAAGTTGCATGACGATTTAATTAGAAAAATGCCTGCAACTAGTAGTGATGTTAGTGAATTTAAGGCCAGCAAAGGTTGGTTTGAGAGATTTAAAAATCGTAGTGGCATACATAGTGTGATAAGGCATGGTGAGGCTGCCAGTTCGGACCAAAAAGCGGCAGAAAAATATGTGAAGGAATTCAAGGAGTACATAGACAGTGAAGAGTTGAAACCTGAACAAATGTTTAATTGCGACGAAACAGGCCTGTTTTGGAAGAAAATGCCAAGCAGGACCTACATAAGCCTATGAAAGACAGGCTTACTCTTTTGATGTGTGCTAATGCTAGTGGTGATTGCAAAGTGAAGCGTTTATTGGTGTATCACTCTGAAACTCCCAGAGCGTTCAGGCAAAACAATGTCCTTAAGGCTAATTTGTGTGTGCTGTGGAGGGCAAACAGGAAGGCATGGGTCACTAGGGACTTTTTCTATGACTGGTTACACCATGCATTTGCCCCCACTCTGAAAAATTACCTAATGGAAAAGAAATTGGACCTTAAGTGCCTCCTGGTATTAGACAGTGCTCCTGGTCATCCTTCAGACTTGGCAGAGCAACTTTCTGGGGACATGAGCTTCATTAAGGTCAAGTTTTTACCTCCTAATACCACTCCTCTCCTGCAGCCCATGGACCAGCAGGTCATTTCAAACTTCAAAAAACTCTACACAAAAGCTATGTTTCAAAAGTGCTTTGAAGTGACCTCAGACACTCGATTGACTCTAAGAGAGTTTTGGAAGGATCACTTTAGTATCCTCTGTTTTTAAACCTTATAGGTAAGGCTTGGGAGGGAGTGACTAAGAGGACCTTGAACTCTGCTTGGAAGAAACTGTGGCCACAATGTGTAGAAGAAAGGGATTTTGAAGGGTTTGAGGCTAACCCTGAGAAGCGTTTGCCAGTTGTGGAATCCATTGTGGAAGTCCTTGAGGTTGGAGGTTAGTGGAGAGGATGTGGAAGAGGTGGTGGAGGAGGACAATGAAGAACTAACCACTGATGAGCTGCAAGATCATCTTCAACAGCAAGAGGCCAGACCTGAGGAAACTGCTTCAGAGGAGGGGAGAGAGAAATTGAGGAAGTTGCCTACTTCAAAGATTAAGGAAATGTGTGCAAAGTGGGTTGAACTGCAAACATTTACAGATGAAAATCACCCTGACACAGCTACTACAAGCCATGTTGGCAACCTGTACAATGGTCCATTTTAGGAAAGTCTTAACCCTTTGAGGGTCGACAGGCCCTCTACGAAACTTGTTCTCAGGGTCGGCCAAATTTCAAAAAAAAAAAAAAAGAAAAAAATTATTTTTTCTTATGAAAAGATAGAGAATCATTTCCCGATCATAATGACACCAAAAGTATGAAATTTGATGGAAAACTTACGGAATTATGCTCTCGTGAAGTTAGCGTTCTTGATGATGTTTACGCATCGGCGATTTTGCCCACTTTGAGCCCTATTTTCGGCCAATTCCAATGTACTAGTCGACAAACTTCATAACTATTTCGCTATAACTCCATTTTTTCTATCGAATGAGTACAAGAAACCACCCATTTACCAATTTCAACTATCCAATAAAATGGTCAGAATTTAGCAATTTTGCCAATTTCACACAAATTTCAAAAGATGCCGATTTCCGAATAGGGTCCAGAATAAACAAGAAAGACATTTCTGGCACTAAAATAACAAGTTCTCTGTTCGTTAGTCACATCCCCAGGCTCCTCTTATATTTCTTTTGCTTTCCATTTTGAATTTTTATTATTACAAAAAAATAGAAGATTTACTGTTATGCAGACTGCTGCATTAGTGTAGAAATGGTATAAATAATATCAGCGTACTTGTGAAAGAATATTAGACTTACCAGTTGACGTGTATTGGACGCTTGGCATGATTTGTTTGCTTTTGAACTTTGATAAAAATCGAACATATCTGCTACTTTGCGCTCAAGTTCAAGGTATTTTTCATTGTAAAATCAATCAAAATCATCTCAATTTTTGTAATATGTCTTCCATTCTATAAAATGAGACCAAGAAAAGTAGAATACAACAGTAAATACCATACGAAAATACAGTGCAAAGTCGCTGTTTTATTCCAAAAACATGGTCAAAGTTTTTTTTTTTTTCTCATTACGCACTGTGTGCTGCAGGATTTTTTTTTATACTGCGCACACTGACCACATAGACCCATTCTTTCATATGTAGGCCTACCAGCTTTCTCTCACCAGATTTGAGGGCGCTAGAATTTAGGCGTTCTAGTACGTCAAAAACCCTGGGTCGTAAGCCGTACTAGTACAGCTGAAACCCTCAAAGGGTTAAAGGAACGGGAGGTACAGAGCTCTATGGACAGATTTGTTGTGTGATAGAGGTCCAGTGACTCAAGCTGGTCCTAGTGGCATTAAAAGAAGGGAAGTAACCCCGGAAAAGGACTTGCTACCTCAAGTCCTAATGGAAGGGGATTCCCCTTCTAAACAATAACTTTCACACTCTCCCCTCCTCCCATCCCATCAGTCATCACCAGATCTTCATTAAAGTTAAGTGTCATGTATTCTATTCATAGTGCATGTCTTCTTCAGTTTGTGTGTATTAAAATTAATATTTCATGTGGTAAAATTTTTTTTTTCATACTTTGGGTGTCAGGAACGGATTAATTTGATTTCCATTATTTCTTATGGGGAAAATTAATTCAGCTAACGATAATTTCGGCTTATGATGGGCTCTCAGGAACGGATTAATATCGTAAGGTGGGGGTCCACTGTAATTGCAAATGAGCAAACTATATCCAAAATAAACCTCTGTAAACTATGTAAGTCTTTTTCTCCCATAAAACTCCATTGAAGAGTTGTGGATGTATTAGGTGCATGTTTGGATACGGTTACCTACAATAGATATTTATTTTGTGCATGAATTTTAAATGTTCTAACTTCAAATTTTGTACTTATTTAAATGCTTTGGATGTTTTTCCTTGAAGGTTCATTTGCTGAGCCACAATGGAATCCGACCATATAAATGTAGTTATGAAAACTGTGACTGGGCCTTTTACACATGGTACAAGCTTAAACGACACATTGAAACACACTTGAAGAGGAGGGATTATGTGGTAAGTTGTACATTAAAGCATTTTATAGTAAACAGTTAACAAATACAGTACTTCAGTGACCAGTCATTACTATCCTAAAGATTAATAATGCAGGTTATTTGTTTTAAAGAAATTATCACATCTAATTAAATAGATTGCAGTTCATGATATTGTGTGAAAAGCATTTTGGACAGAATTGAATCTTCTGTAATATAATGTTTTCAAATAACAATACTAACATTAATAATAATAATAACAGTACAGTATTAGCTTTTATGGTTTGACATGCTGTTGGTGTTCGCAAGATAACATTTATGAAGGGGTTAAAGGAAACCTATTAGCTTGACTTTGACTTGTGAAGGTGGGAAGTACAGTTTCTGCTCTCTGAAGGAAGGGTGAGGATGTTGCAGTTAAGAGGGTCATTTGAACTGTGATGTCTGCACACTTCTAGCAAAACAGCTATTGAATGAGTGAGTGAATGTATTGTATTTCTGGGTCATCCTGCCTTGATGGGAGATGACTAATGAATTTAAAAAACTAGTATTGACTGTAGCAGACTTCATATTAAAAGTATAATAGGGTCAATATTATAAAGCTTGGAATAATAGTGATTATAAGTAATGGAGAGAGAAAATAATATACTTTTGGTTTAAAGAATTAGATTTTTTTTTTTTTTTTTAACAAGTCGGTCGTCTCCCACCGAGGCAGGGTGACCCAAAAAGAAAGAAAATCCCCCCAAAAATACTTTCAGCATCATTCAACACTTTCACCTCACACATAATCACTGTTTACATATAATTTGACAAGAGAAATGAGAAAAGCTGATATATTTTATAAAGCCTTATCAACTTAGTAAAATGTTGTGTGTATTTAAAGGTTTGCTCTGAGTATAGTGTTTTTTTTTTTAAGTTTGTTGGCATGTCTTGGATCCAGAACTGATGTGATTAGGGCTGGTTTTGCTTGAAATGATTTTTTATATTCAATCACAAGTGAGGATATCAAGAGACATATCATTTTTTTTTATTGGTCTGTTCTGTTATAGCTTTTCAAGAAGCTTTAAATTCATACACAGTATACAATATTCAGTCTGGACAGTTTCAACTGTGAAGTTGGACATATCTCTAGGCTGAGGGACTGACCATCTCAGATTGCTGCTTCAAGGTTGATGGACTGATCACATCATCATTATCTCTCCACTGCTTCTACTGTCTCCATATTTTCCACCCTAGTATTCAGCTGATGAAGCCTACTGTATAGGTAAAACATTTCAGCATAAAGATACCTAACTGTTACACATGAGTTTTCATTTTTGTTTTTAACAAGTCGGCCGTCTCCCACTGAGGCTGGGTGACCCGAAAAGAAAGAAAATCCCCAAAAAGAAAATACTTTCATCATCATTCAACACTTTCACCTCACTCACACATAATCACTGTTTTTGCAGAGGTGCTCAGAATACAACAGTTTAGAAGTATATATGTATAAAGATACACAACATATGTATGTGCATTGGAAATATATATAGAATGAGATGGCTCTGTGACTTACTTTATGTTAACTGGTTTTAGGTATTTTGTTATTGATGATCAATAAAACATATAAAACCAGTTAGCCAGATATGAGTCCTGGAGGTGGGAACGACTCTGAAGAAAGGATGGGGATGATTTGAAGTAGCATAAGTTCCTTGCTGACTGCTTTTCTTTCTCGTATACAAAACTTTTTTTTTTTTTTTTTTTTTTTGTCTCGGTTGATTTTTTACTCCTGAGAACCTTACATAAAGGGGGTGGATGTTAAATGAGCTTTTATGTAGAAGTTTTTTTCTGAGCATGATCCTTCTAACATTTTCAATTTCACATGTGCTATCAGGAAACCTTCCTCATTAGTAATCCTTTTCTGTGAAGTAAATTGTTTTTCGTAAATGCTAGATGCTGATGAGGGAGGGGGTTCTATTTGTCTTTATCCTCTTTCCATTGTTTAGCATAAACTCCTGAGACTTGCAAAGCATACCCAGTCATATCATTTTATATTTTTAGACAAGCTTCAGTACCACCCAATCATTTATGCAGTCTTTATACTTCTCCAGTACACGTATATAGTGTTCCCATCCAAGCTAAACTGTTATTAATTTATTCATTTAAGTAACCTTGTCTTTATATCATTCAGTTATTTTTCTTAGTAGCAGAATAGAAGAGGACTTACAGGTATAAAGCTGATGCTCATTACCTAAATTCTGTTTTTCTCTTTCTTAGTGCTCAGAATCTAACTGCAACCGGCGATTCACTACAGTTTATAACCTCAACACACATCTTCGTTTGCACCAGCGTCCAAAGTGCTGGATGTGCTCACTGCCAGAATGTACTCAAGCTTTCCATACCAGGCGGGAGTTGGAAGTACACATGAAAACTCACAAAGATGTTGAAGCTCCTTATAAGTAAGTAAACATCATTTTTGCTTTATTTATTATACCCAGTTAATTCAACTTGCTTGTACTATATGAATCATCACATTCACATAAAGTATTTATATTATGTTTTGTTTTCTTATTCTTTCTTTCAACATGCCAGCTGTATCCCACCAAGGCAGGGTGGCCCAAAAGAAAAAAACAAGTTTCTCATTTTACTTTTAGTAATATACAGGAGAAGGGGTTAATAGCCCCTTCCTGTTATTTTAGTCACCTCTTACAACACATATGGCTTATGGAAGAATTCTGTTCCACTTCCCCATGGAGATTTTTTTTTTTTTTTTCAACAAGTCGGCTGTCTCCCACCTAGGCAGGGTGACCCAAAAAGAAAGAAAATCCCAAAAACTAAAATACTTTCATCATCATTTAACACTCTCACCTCACTCATACATAATCATTGTTTTTGCAGAGGCACCCAGATACAACAGTTTAGAAGCATATATAAAGATACAGTATAAAAAGTGACATGAAATAATATAATAAACTCCATATAGAATATAATATCAGGGCCCCAATTATATATACGTATACCATCCTATTACACATCCCTCCAAACTGCCAATATCCCAAACCCCTCCTTTAAAGTGCAGGCATTGTACTTCCCATTTCCAGAACTCAAGTCCGGCTATATAAGAATACGTAAACGGTTTTCCTGAATCCCTTCACTAAATATTACCCTGCTCACACCCCCACCGCTCGTCAGGTTTCAAAAACCATTTGTCTCCATTCACTCCTATCTAACACACTCATGCACACTTGCTGGAAGTCCAAGCCCCTCGCCCACAAAACCTCCCTTACCCCCCCTCCCTCCAACCTTTTCAAGGACAACCCCTAACCCACCTTCCCTCCCCTACAGATTTATAAGCTCTCTATGTCATTCTACTTTGATCCATTCTCTCTAAATGACCAAACCACCTCAACAACCCCTCTTCAGCCCTCTGACTAATACTTTTATTAACGCCACACCTCCTAATTTCCACACTTCGAATTTTCTGCATAATATTTACACCACACATTGCCCTTAGACAGGACGTCTCCACTGCCTCCAACCGCCTCCTCGCTGCAACATTTACAACCCAAGCTTCACAACCATATAAGAGTGTTGGTACCACTATACTTCCATACATTCCCTTCTTTTCCTCCATTGATAACCTTTTTTGTCTCCACATATATCTCAACGCACCACACATCCTTGTCTAAGACCTACTTTTACTGGGAAGTAATCTCCCTCTCTTCCACACACCCTAACCTGAGCCTCACTATCCTCATAAAAACTCTTGATCTACACATCCCCTACCCACTCTAAAGCCTCCTTGCTCATCCGCAATCCTACTCTCTGTCTTACCTCTAATTCTTTCAATAATAACCCTACCATTATAACCACAAATATTAATCATGCCTGTTTTCCCGTGCTCCTGGACCAAAATTCTTTATCTGTGATCACTAAAACTGTTACACTTTACACCAGTATACTGACCCCATGCAATATTATTCACCTGTATTTTAATCATTTTTAATTTATTTGTATATGTAGTGCCCTTTGAATAGAAAATTATTATAATTTTATGACTGATTAATCCTGCTAATAATTACACAGGTGTGGTGTAGATGGTTGCAGCAAATCTTACTTCACTCCTAACTCATTAACATCTCATATGCGTAGTCACCACAAAGAAGAGGAGTTGCGTTGCCAGTGGACAGGCTGTGGGAAAAAGTTTGACAAACCTTGCAGACTTAAAGCTCACATGAGAGTGCACACAGGTCAGAGACCTTTTGTGTGCACATTTGAGGTCAGTTGCTATGATCTTTATGTTCACATCCCTAAAGTATCCTTAAATCTTAAACATTTATAGTTGTCTTCTTTTTATCAGTACTGTATTAGGTTATGCAATAAGTTTTAGTTTTAATTAAGGGTAGCTAAGGACATAACAATCATGGTACATATTTTTCTTTTTAGTGAATTGCTTAACCTCTCAACTTTGTCCAACATGCTAGTACACAGGTGAGGACTGTGTTTGACATACTAGTGTGCACAATTTTTCATGCCTTCATGCTTGCCATTTGCCAGTATTTTTTACCTCAGCACAACTGTTTGGATCTCCTACAACCTATTCAAGCATTTGAAAAATAGAAGACCAGATGGAACCATGTGGTGCATCATTGGTAACACTGCCTAACTAGAATTTGTAAACTGAAGCTAGGACCTGTTGTTCCATCACCAGCTTCCCTATCAGCAAACAGGGTGTGGAACTCCCAGGAAGATGCCTTATTCGTTCTGGATTTGTTACAATTTCATGATATAGTGGAATTCACCCAAAAACTATGTAGTGTTGATTGAATCTAGCATAACCCAATTTAGTTAAACAGTGTGACTTATTTCCACGTTTCTATAAATAATACTGCATGAAACAACTGTAGTATCATAAAATTTCCTTATAAAACATGTTTTACAGTGGTATTGAAGGCACACAGGTGTTATGGACACAGAAGTTTCATTGTTTATATAACCCAGGATATACCCTCAAGCCTCAGTATGTAACAATAATTTAATCTAAGATAACCCTATATAGTCAAACAGTGTCATTGACTTGTTATATTTTTAAAAGTATTGCACCTTGATGAAACTGTTATATTTAAGTATTCCTTGTACATAGTGTTAGAAGATCAAAACGGTAAAGAAATAAAAAAAATTACTTGCTCTAATTTATACTGTATATTCCAAGTGGAATATTTTTTTTTTTATTATCACACTGGCCGATTCCCACCAAGGCAGGGTGGCCCGAAAAAGAAAAACTTTCACCATCATTCACTCCATCACTGTCTTGCCAGAAGGGTGCTTTACACTACAATTTTTAAACTGCAACATTAACTATATATTCCAAGTGGAATATATAGTATAAAACACCTTGAAACATGTCTGACATCTTAAGAAACTAGTGTACATAGTGTTAAACATTAAAAATGGTGTGCAGCTTATTAGGCACTTGCAAGGTTCTAAAACAAAAAGATTTGTCTCAAAAATATTACAAAAGCCTAATTACTTTGAACTGCCATTGTCTAAAAATTATTTATATCATTGCATCAACCCTACTACCTCTCACCCCTTGGTTCAGTCAACATAAATGCCTGAAAGGCAATAAGGATTGAATACTGAGCTCAACTGATTTGTTTCTGACTACATTTTCAGAGGACACTGGCATTACCAGACACTCAAAAATCAATGCTAACAAACTTTATACATTAAGCTTTTGTGTCAAAGGCACTTAGCTACTGTGTGTGCAACAATGGCTAATATAAGAGGAGAGATTGGTTAGGTTACAAATTAATATAAAAAATGCACTAGAACAAAGTTGAATCACAGCATTATACAGTGGAACCTCGGTTTTCGTATGCCCTAGTTTTCGTGGGATTCAGTTTTCGACAACTTTTTTTCGTCAAAATTTTGTCCCAGTTTTTATACATTTGCTCAGTTTTCATAGAGTTGAAAATGGTCCGTACCAAACTCGTCCACCTGCCCACGTGACTCAGCCACTCAAGCGCCCACACAAAGCATCCCATGCGTTCGTGACTCAGTCTGCCTTTGTTTCTTGTTGAGTGATGATCACCCCATGCATTCATCCAAAACATTTCGTAAAAATCTATTATTTTTTGTGCTTTATTGAGTGTGAATGCTAAATAAGCCACTATGGGGCCAAAGAAAGTTCCAAGTGCCAGCCCTTTGATAAAGAAGGTGAGAATAACAACAGAATTCAAGAAAGAACTCGTAGCAAAGTACAAAAGTGGCGTATGCATGGCAGATCTCACCAGGATTTACGGGAAGTTCTCATCAACGATCAGCTCCATCCTGGCAAAGAAAAAAGAAATCAAGGAAGCTGATGTTTTAAAAGGGGTAAATGTGCTAATGAAACAGAGATCGCAAACAATCAAAGATGTTGAGAAGTTGTTGTTGGTGTGGATCAACGAAAAGCAATTAGTGGAGATAGTGTTTTGGAGGCGATAATTTGCAAAAACGCAAGGCAGTTGAATGCTGATCTCGCAAAGAAAATGCCCCGAACGGGTGCTGCTGTTAGTGAATTTAAGGCCAGCAGAGGCTGGTTCGACAAGTTCAAGAAGCGAACTGGCATACACAGTGTGGTAAGGCATGGCAAGGTTGCAAGTTCGGACAAACGTGGGGCCAAAGAATTCATTGATGAATTCAAGGAGTATGTAGAGGCTGAAGAATTCCTCCCCCAACAAGTCTTCATTTGTGACGAAACAGGCCTCTTTTGGAAGAAAATGCCAAAGAGGACCTACATCACGCAGAAGGAAAAAGTACTGCCAGGACACAAGCTTATGAAGGATAGGATAATTTTGTTCTGTGGTAACACTAGTGGGGATTTCAAAGTGAAGCCTTTATTGGTGTATCACTCTGAAAATCCCCGAGTGTTTAAGAAAAACAATGTCATCAAGAATAAATTGTGTGTGATGTTGAAGGCTTAACAATAAGGCATGGGTCATGAGGCAAATTTTCATTGAGTGGGTCAATGAAGTGTTTTGCTCGAATGTGAAGAAATACCTCCTTGAAAATCATTTGCCACTCAAGTGCCTCCTGGTAATGCACAAAGCTCCTGCTCATCCTCCAGACTTGGCAGACCAATTGTTGGAGGAGTTTAGTTTCATCAGAGTGAGGTTCTTGCCCCGTAATACCACTCCTCTCATCCAACCCATGGACTAGCAGGTCATTTCAAACTTCAAAAAGCTATACACGAAAGTGCTGTTTCAGAGGTGCTTTGAAGTGACCTCGGACACTGAACTGACCAAGAGAGAGTTCTGGAGTAATCACTTCAGTATCCTCAGTTACATAAGCCTTTTAGATAAGGCTTGGCAGGGAGTGACTTCCAGGAAGATGAACTCTGCTTGGAGAAAATTGTGGCCAGAATGTGTCCTTGAGAAGAATTTTGAAGGGTTTGAGGCTGACCCTGACGACTCCACACCTGTTGTGGAATCTATTGTCTTTGAGGAAGTCCATGGGGTTGGATGTGAGTGGCCAGGATATGGAAGAGTTGGTGAACGACCACAGGGAAGAGCTAACCACTGAAGAGCTGCAAGACCTTCAACTGGAACAGCAACAGATGGCAGCTGAGGAAATTGCTTCAGAGGAGGAAGAAGAGAGAGGGGAGAATGTGCCTTCTTCAGTGATTAAGGACATGTGTGCAAAATGGAGTGAGTTGCAAAGTTTTGTGGCAAAATATCACCCTAACAAAGCTGTTGCAAGCCATGTCTGCAACATATTCAGTAATAATGCCTTGTCCCATTTTAGGCAAATCTTAAATTAAGAGACGCCAGAAACAGACCTCTCTGCACAGAATTTTTGTGCGACAGGGGTCCAGTGACTCTCAAGCTGATCCTAGTGCCAGTAAAAGACAAAGAAGGGAAGTAACCCTGGATAGGGCCTTGATACCTGAATTCCTTATGGACTAGGATTTCCCTTCCAAACAATAACCTCTCCTCTCTCTTTCCTCCTCGCCGTCTTCAATACGCTAATGAGAGTCTTCAATAAAGGTAAAAGTGATGTTAAATGTTCATTTATCCATTTCATTAGTCATTTATATTTATTTTTCATTGTTTTCTGTATGCAAAACTATAGTTCTTCTTTCAACAAACTGGCCACATCCCACCGAAGCAGGGTGGCCCAAAAAGAAAAACAAAAGTTTCTTTTTTTAATTTTATTAATGTATACAGGAGGAGTTACTAGAAAACTATAGTTATTCTCTATAAAATGTATTTTTTGTTAATATTTTTGCGTGTCTGGAACGGATTAATTGGATTTACATTTTTTCTTATGGGGAAATATTGCTTCAGTTTTCGTATGCTTTGGTTTTCTTCAGACTTATTTGAACGGATTAATCACAAAAACCAAGGTTCCACTGTAATTAGCAGAAACATTCCTCTATGTAAAGGTTATCATCAGCTTTCTGCTAAGGCACTTTCACATATATTCAATATGATTACAGCTGTATGCCTTACATTACAGTACAGAATAATTATTGGCAGGCACAGCACTCCACGCTATTATAGTTAATATCACCATAGAGAGTCAAGGAATGACGAAAATGTTTTGTATTTTTCCTTTTCATTCAGCACTAACAAGAAAGCTTGTTAGTGCTGAATTTGGTCTTGGAAGACTTTTATTCCATAGCACTCGTTATAAGCATTATTTGTTCATTTAGTCTAGCATCTGCTTTTCTGCCCTAATCTTCTCGTGTTTTCTATTTTTAGCGAAAGCCATTAGCATCAAGTAAATATAGTGAACTCTGGCAAATATTTAAATTGGTGCAATTGGGCTTTCAAAATTTGGTTTTACTAATAAATACCTGGGAAATATGTTCTTTTCTACCACTTTCCTAATGTATGGAAAGATGTATGTAGTACATGCTAAAAAAAAAAATAAAAAAAAAGCCCAGGCTTATTCTCTGTTAAACATACCTTTCACCTTGTAAGTACAGTACTTTCAACAATATATTTTTAAATGTATGTATATGCAGTATATTTGTTCATTTTAACAATTAAGCCAAACCAAGATCAATGCAAAAAACTAAAATATGAAAAGCACCACTTTTTAGCACGTTTCTATGGTGTGTCCTCGCAGTCGTCAGATCTGAAAGATGATTTAAATAAGAGTACGTATAATGTGTGTTTTTTTTATTTTTTTAGAGAGTTCCTAAGAAGCAGTGGGAGTAAATAAAGACATCAGCTTCAAGTGCTAATTTATCATTTCAGGGTTGTAACTGGTCTTTCCAAAGTGCAAGTAAATTAAGTCGACATCAGCGAAAACACACCAATGATCGGAAGTTTACCTGCCCCATCTGTCAAAAATCCTTTCTTCGGTCTGAGCATCTTAAAGGCCATTTGCTCATCCACACAGGGGTTAGAAACTTTCAGTGCCCAATTGAACGTAAGTTTTTAATAGAGAAACCCAAATTCTGAATGTACTGTACTGTTCCTTATTTCTTTTCTCTGTGCCTCAGTATTCTATACAATACTATAGTTTTGGCTTTATGTCTTCATACCCATGTTGATTCTTGAAGTTCCAAGGCCATTGCTCTTCATATTAGGAGGGAATATAATTATATATTACAAAAATACAAAACTGGAAATTTGTTCAGTGTTACTTTTGATCATGGGCTACTTAAGCATTATTTTTGTAATAAATGCTTTTTATTAGAGGATGACACGAAATCTTTTATAATAACTTTAATGCTTAACCCTTTGAGGGTCCGTCCCGTAGTTCTACAGCTTTGAAGCCAGAGTCCAAGCTCAGCTCACTCAGATAAGCTGTGAGTGGTAAATTTGGGCCTAGATATGAGAGAATGCATCCATCTGGTAAGTGTGCACCATATAAAATAAATCCTGCAGCACGCAGTGCATAATGAGAAGAAAAAACTGTGATTGTGTTTTTGGATTAAAACAGTGACTTTGCGGTGTATTTTCGTATGGTTTTTACAGTTGTATTCGCGGTTTCTTGGTCTCATTCAAATGAGACCAAGATGAGAATGGAAGATATATTACAGAAATAGAGATAATTTTGATTGGTTTTAGTACTGAAAATTGCTTGAAATTGAGTTCAAAGTAGCAGAAATGTTTGATTTTTGCCATTGTTCTAGAGTAAACAAATCACTCCATGCATCCAATACACGTCAACTGGTGGGTCAGATATACGTTCATGAATGCACTGATATTATTTATACAATTACAATATTGCATAACAGTAAATTTCCTATTTTTTGATGTGGATAAAATTCTTTTATGTGAATAAAAAATAAAAATGAAATTCACCTGTGAAGCCTGGAAATGTAATTAATAAACAGAAGAAATGTTATTTTAGTGCCAGGAATGTCTGCATTGTTTACTCTGGACCCTATTTTGAAATTGGAATAGTTTGAACTTTGTGTGAAATTGGCCAAATTACCAATTTCTGATCACTTTATTGAGTAGTTGAAATAGACGATGGGCAGTTTCTTGTGCACAGTTGATAAAAATAGAAGTGATACTAGCAAAATAGCTAAGAATTTGGTCAACTGGAATAATGTAATTGGCCTAAAATAGGAGCCAAACTGGACAAAATTGCTGATGCATAAATATCACTGATGCAGCAAAATTTGCAATAGCGTAATTTCATCAATTTTCCATCAAATCTCGTACTTTTTGTTTTATTACCTTCAGAAAAAGATTCTCTGTCATTTCATAAGAAAAAATAACAAAAAATTTTGAAAATTCTTGGACCCATTGGACATTGCGTAGAACTACGGTACGGACCCTCAAAGAGTTAATGGTATTCAGAGTGCCCCAAGGCAAAATATCCACAGTACGTATTATCTCTGGCATTAAACTAGTTGTAAGAATCTCTATGAGAACTTGAATATTAAAGTTATTCTTTCCTTTCTTACAAATTGTGTTTGTGTGATCACATGCATTTAGAAAACATCAATAATTAACAAACGGGCAAAATTTCAAAACATTTGACTTGTTTAGGTATCTGTAAAATATTATTTATTTTTATTATCACACTGGCCGATTCCCACCAAGGCAGGGTGGCCCGAAAAAGAAAAACTTTCACCATCATTCACTCCATCACTGTCTTGCCAGAAGGGTGCTTTACACTACAGTTTTTAAACTGCAACATTAACACCCCTCCTTCAGAGTGCAGGCACTGTACTTCCCATCTCCAGGACTCAAGTCCGGCCTGCCGGTTTCCCTGAATCCCTTCATAAATGTTACTTTGCTCACACTCCAACAGCACGTCAAGTATTAAAAACCATTTGTCTCCATTCACTCCTATCAAACATGCTCATGCATGCCTGCTGGAAGTCCAAGCCCCTCGCACACAAAACCTCCTTTACCCCCTCCCTCCAACCTTTCCTAGGCCGACCCCTACCCCGCCTTCCTTCCAGTACAGACTGATACACTCTTGAAGTCATTCTGTTTCGCTCCATTCTCTCTACATGTCCGAACCACCTCAACAACCCTTCCTCAGCCCTCTGGACAACAGTTTTGGTAATCCCGCACCTCCTCCTAACTTCCAAACTACGAATTCTCTGCATTATATTCACACCACACATTGCCCTCAGACATGACATCTCCACTGCCTCTAAAAAAAATTGTATAACTAGCTGTTAAAAGTGTCACTGTTGCTATCTGAGGCTGTGATTGCCATTGCCGCTATTCTGCCATTGTTTACTTTTCAGTGTGGCAGCATGTTCCAGCTATTTGACTCATTTTCTGAGTGTTTTTTTTTAGCTCTTGATGATATGTAATGTTTGAGTATATTTCTGCAAAATGCAAGCTTGTTCCTCTAATCAATTAAGAGTTGAAATATTGCACATAGTTGATAAAGTAGAGGAGTAACACCCTAGTTGGTGAATAGTCAGCATTCTTATAACACCCAGGACACATGTCTGAAGTTCTTGATCTGTGGTATTCTGTTATTTCTTGGGAGGGGTGGGGGAAGACTTAACAGGCATCTCCCACATTTCCTAGAAGGGTCTGACTTACAGTGCACAGCTTTATAATCATTGTTTTATTTACCTCTGCGGGATACGACCGGTGTGTTGAAAGAAAGATGACGTTTTTATTTATTTTATAGAAGTTGTGTGAAATATATTAAGACATGAAGGTAGAGGTAGTAGGTTGGTAGACAGCAACCACCCAGGGAGGTGCTACCGTCCTGTGAAGTGAGTGTAAAACAAAAACCTGTAATTGTTTTACTTGATGGTAGGATTGCTGATGTCTTTTTTCTGCCTCATAAACATGCAAGATTTCAGGTACGTCTTGCTACTTCTAGGTTTGTGTGGTCATTGTGCACCATGTAAAAAAAATCGTGCAGCACGCAGTGCATAATGAGAAAAAAAAAACTCCGACCGTGTTTTTGGATTAAAACGCCAACTTTGTGGTGTATTTTCGTATAGGATTAATGGTCGTATTCTCATTTTCTTGGTCTCATTTGATAGAAATAGAAGTGATTTTGATTGGTTTTACTATGAAAAGAACCTTGAAAAGGAGCTCAAAGTAGGGAAAGGTTTGATTTTTGCCATTCTAATATGCAGTCATGAATGAGTTGACATTATTTATACAATTATTACAATATTGCAGTAGTCTGCATAACAGTAAATTTTCTATTTTTTTTGTTTGAATAAAAATTCAAAATAGAAAGCAAGAGTAATATCAGAGGGGCCTGGAGACATGACTGATAAACAACAAAAATGTTATTTCAGAGCCAGGAATGTCTGTATTGTTAATTTTAGACCCTGTTTTGGAATTGGCATATTTTTTAATTTCCGTGAAATTGACCAAATTGCAATATTTCTGACCCCGTTATTGGGTAGTTGAAATCGGTAAATGGGCAGTTTCTTGTACTCAGTCGATAGAACAAATGGAGTTCTAAAGAAATAGCTATGAGTTTGGTTGACTGGAACAGTGGAATTAGCTGAAAATAGGGCTCAAAGTGGGTGAAATAGCCGATTCTTGAATATCGCCGAGGTCGCTAACTTCACGAGAGCGTAATTCCATAAGTTTTCCATCAAATTTCGCTCTTTTGGTGTCATTACCATTGGGAAAATATTCTCTATCATTTCATAAGAATTTTTTTTTTTTTTTCAAAAAATTTTTCAACACCAGGAGACACCTCAGTATTTGGGGTTGCAACAGTCAAAGGGTTAATCTAAATCATTTGATATCTTCATCACCTTACTCTATCTATGTTCACTTTCAACTTTCTACCTTTACACACCCTCCCAAACTTGTCCACTAACCTTTGCAACTTTTCTTTAGAATCTCCCATAAGCACAGTATCATCAGCAAAAAGTAACTTTGTCAACTCCCATTTTGTATTTGATTCCCCATAATTTAATCCCACCCCTCTCCCCAGCACCCTAGCATTTACTTCTTTTACAACCCCATCTATAAATATATTAAACAATCATGGTGACATTATACATCCTTCTCTAAGACCTACTTTTACTGGGAAGTAGTCTCCTTCTCTTCTACACACCCTAACCTGAGCCTCACTATCCTCATAAAAACTCTTTACAGCATTTACTAACTTACTATGTATTCCATATACTTGCAAGATCTGCCACATTGCTTCCCTATCCACTCTAAATCCATAAATGCAATGAAAACTTCCCTACCTTTATCTAAATGCTGTTCACATATATTCTTCAACGTAAACATTTGATCTACACATCCCCTACCCACTCTAAAGCCTCCTTGCTCATCAGCAATCCTACTGTCTGTCATACCTCTATTTTTTTCAATAATAACCCTACCATACACTTTTCCTGGTATACTCAGTAAACTTCTTTCTTCTTTCAACACCGGCCGTATCCCACCGAGGCGGGGTTGCCCAAAAGGAAATATGAAAGTTTCTCCTTTTACATTTAGTAATATATACAGGAGAAGGGATTGCTCAGTAAACTTATTCCTCTATAATTTTTATAATCTCTTTTGTCCCCCTTCCCTTTACTATTGCATCATTTACCATGACAAATGCATTCAGGTGTACATACTCAAGGCAAAAAATAGTTGTCAAGGTCTGTTAATGTAGGGCTTCCAACACTTATACGGTATATGATGTATGTACTTGCTTAGCATTCAAGGAGTGCATTTTTTCTCTCCATGGTGAAATGTGAAATCTTAATAATGCAGATTTTTTTCATTTTCAGACTGCAATGCAAAGTTCACTGCCAAGAGTAGCTTATATGTACACCTAAAGAAACATGAGGGTAAAACAAAAGACAATAACAATAAAGTTACTTACCACTGTCCAATAGATACCTGTGACAAGAGCTACAACTCAAAATTTAATCTTCGGCAGCACATGCTCAAAAACCATACCATATTGAGTGAGTTTGCATGTAGTTGCTTATTTGGATTATTTGAAGTAACAATAATTATATTAGTTATAAGTAATTATCAGTATTTAATTATCTCCTCATAATGAGTAATTCATTATCCTGTACAGCTACAGACACAACTCAGTTGGACTACATAACACTCCTGGGTGATAAAGACCTGATGATGGATCAGCTTTTGCCACTAACAGCTGGTGGTGCATCATCCTCCACCTCAGTCACTTTAGATAGTAATGTGCCATCCTCCACATTCTCTTCTGCATCTCCTTCAAGTGATGCCCAAGCAACTCTCCTCTCCAGCATTGAACTTATCAATGGGGAAATAGGTGCTGGTTAGTTGACTTTTGCTATAATCCATTCACTTGTATGTTTATTCATCTTGTTTTGTTGACTCATCTGTTTATTATCATATACTATTCATGTCATCAATTTAGTATATTTAACTTACATGACGTCTTGTTTTCTGCATTTGCAGTAACTATCTATTTGTAATTTTTACCTCTTGAATTTTGGGTGGGAGGAGTTGCAGTTCTAGGTGTTTCCTCTTAACTTTCAACTGACTGACATGCATGAACCTGTCATATCTGTTTTTGAACCACTGTACAGAGTTGGCTTCCATTGTTTCATTCCACTTATTTACAACTCTTACCTTTAAGGAAAACTTTGTAATATCCCTTTGATTCATTTGTGTGTAATTTTCCACCCATGCTGCCATTATCTTGTTGCATCCCTGTCTATGCTTGTAGCATTGTGTGTGCTGTGATTGCAACCCTTCTTGTTCTTCACTGTAGCAGTGACATAGGATGTAGTTAATGCACGTGTCATAGCTCATTCTTCTCAGCTTAGACACCAGTCATAGAGCTCTCTTTTACATTTTCTCAAGCTTTTATCTGTGCTTTATTATGCAAGAATTTAACATTGGCACTGCATATTCAAGAATAAGTTGCACATATGAGGTATAAAGTATTTTGAATTAGTCTTTGTCTTGGTTCTTGAAAACCATTTTATGTATGGAAGCATATATGTACTATCCTGCTGATGTTATTCAATTTATATGTACATCAGGAGGCAGGTTTGGGGTTATATTTATTCCAAAGCTGTTTTCTTTTGATTTTTATTCTCATTATTTTGTTATCTTCCACAAATAAGAATATGTTGTATTTAACTCCTGTGACCAGGTAATATATACAATCCAGGAACAGTATGAGGAACTAGTGGAACTTCACTAGTTACACTACCAAACAGATGTAACGTCCCTTATAGCAACTGGTTTTTTTTTTGACTTAATTACTCCTTTATCCGTTTTTTTTTTTACACTAGATTTGTTAAGTGGCACTATATCAAAAGCCTTCTTACAGACTAGGAATATGTAGCTCACTAATCCATTTCTTTCCTATTTGGCCTCAGTTAATATACAGGAGGGCCTGCTTTACAGCACTTTGCTTTAAGGCAATTTGCTAGTACAGACATATCAAATTTTTTTTTTTTCGACAAACCGGCCGTATCCCACCAAGGCAGGGTGGCCCAAAAAGAAAAACGAAAGTTTCTCTTTTTAAATTTAGTAATTTATACGGGAGAAGGGGTTACTAGCCCCTTGCTCCCGGCATTTTAGTCGCCTCTTACAACACGCATGGCTTACGGAGGAAGAATTCTGTTCCACTTCCCCATGGAGATAAGAGGAAATAAACAAGAACAAGAACTAGAAAGAAAATATAAGAAAACCCAGATGCATGTGTATGTATATATATGCTTGTACATGTAGTAGTAGGTTGGTAGACAGCAACCACCCAGGGAGGTACTACCGTCCTGCCAAGTGAGTGTAAAACGAAAGCCTGTGATTGTTTTACATGATGGTAGGATTGCTGATGTCTTTTGTCTGCCTCATAAATACGCAAGATAACAGGTATGTCTTGCTACTTCTACTTACACTTAGGTCGCACTACACATACATGTACACACTTATTTATACACACTCATCTGAGTTTTCTTTGATTTTATCTTAATAGTTCTTGGTCTTATTACTTTTCCTTTTATATCCATGGGGAAGTGGAATAAGAATCTTTCCTCCGTAAGCCATGCGTGTTGTAAAAGTCAACTAAAATGCCGGAAAGAATGGGCTAGTAACCCCTTTTCCTGTAAAGATTACTAAAAAGAATAAGAAGAAGAAAATTGTCAAAGTGGGAAGTCTGAATGTGCGTGGATGTTGTGCAAATGATAAGAAAGAGATGATTGTGGATGTTATGAATGAGAAGAAACTGGATGTCCTGGCTTAAGTGAAACAAAGCTGAAGGGGGTGGGAGAGTTTCAATGGAGAGGAATAAATGGGATTAGGTCAGGGGTTTCAAATAGAGTTAGAGCTAAAGAAGGAGTAGCAATAATGTTGAAGGATAAGCTATGGCAGGAAAAGAGGGTGTATAAATGTATTAATTCAAGGATTATGTGGAGTAAAATAAAGATTGGATGTGAAAAGTGGGTTATAATAAGCGTGTATGCACCTGGAGAAGAGAGAAGTGTACAGGAGAGAGAGAGATTTTGGGAAATGTTGAGTGAATGCGTGGGGAGTTTTGAATCAAGTGTGAGAGTAATGGTGGTTGGGAATTTCAATGCTAAAGTGGGTAAAAATGTTATGGAGGGAGTAGTAGGTAAATTTGGGGTGCCAGGGGTAAATGTAAATAGGGAGCCTTTAATTGAGCTATGTGTAGAAAGAGATTTGGTAATAAGTAATACATATTTTATGAAAAGAGGATAAATAAATATACAAGGTATGATGTAGCACGTAATGAAAGTAGTTTATTAGATTATGTATTGGTGGATAAAAGGTTGATGGGTAGGCTCCAGGATGTACATGTTTATAGAGGGGCAACTGATATATCGGATCATTATTTAGTTGTAGCTACAGTTAGAGTAAGAGGTAGATGGGAAAAGAGGAAGGTGGCAACAACAAGTAAGAGGGAGGTGAAAGTGTATAAACTAAGGGAGGAGGAAGTTCGGGTGAGATATAAGCGACTATTCGCAGAAAGGTGGGCTAGTGCAAAGATAGAGTAGTGAGGGGGTTGAAGAGGGTTGGAATAGTTTTAAAAATGCAGTATTAGAATGTGGGGCAGAAGTTTGTGGTTATAGGAGGGTGGGGGCAGGAGGAAAGAGGAGTGATTGGTGGAATGATGAAGTAAAGGGTGTGATAAAAGAGAAAAAGGTAGCTTACGAGAGGTTTTTACAAAGCAGAAGTGTTATAAGAAGAGCAGAGTATATGGAGAGTAAAAGAAAGGTAAAGAGAGTGGTGAGAGAGTGCAAAAGGAGAGCAGATGATAGAGTGGGAGAGGCACTGTCAAGAAATTTTAATGAAAATAAGAAAAATTTTGGAGTGAGTTAAACAAGTTAAGAAAGCCTAGGGAAAGTATGGATTTGTCAGTTAAAAACAGAGTAGGGAGTTAGTAGATGGGGAGATGGAGGTATTAGGTAGATGGCTAGAATATTTTGAGGAACTTTTAAATGTTAAGGAAGAAAGAGAGGCAGTAATTTCATGCACTGGTCAGGGAGGTATACCATCTTTTAGGAGTGAAGAAGAGCAGAATGTAAGTGTGGGGGAGGTACGTGAGGCATTACGTAGAATGAAAGGGGGTAAAGCAGCTGGAACTGATGGGATCATGACAGAAATGTTAAAAGCAGGGGGGGATATAATGTTGGAGTGATTGGTACTTTTGTTTAATAAATGTATGAAAGAGGGGAAGGTACCTAGGGATTGGCAGAGAGCATGTATAGTCCCTTTATATAAAGGGAAAGGGGACAAAAGAGACTGTAAAAATTATAGAGGAATAAGTTTACTGAGTATACCAGGAAAAGTGTACGGCAGGGTTATAATTGAAAGAATTAGAGGTAAGACAGAATGTAGGATTGCGGATGAGCAAGGAGGTTTCAGAGTGGGTAGGGGATGTGTAGATCAAGTGTTTACATTGAAGCATATATGTGAACAGTATTTAGATAAAGGTAGGGAAGTTTTTATTGCATTTATGGATTTAGAAAAGGCATATGATAGAGTGGATAGAGGAGCAATGTGGCAGATGTTGCAAGTATATGGAATAGGTGGTAAGTTATTAAATGCTGTAAAGAGTTTTTATGAGGATAGTGAGGCTCAGGTTAGGGTGTGTAGAAGAGAGGGAGACTACTTCCTGGTAAAAGTAGGTCTTAGACAGGGATGTGTAATGTCACCATGGTTGTTTAATATATTTATAGATGGGGTTGTAAAGGAAGTAAATGCTAGGGTGTTCGGGGGGAGGGGGGATTAAATTTTGGGGAATCAAATTCAAAATGAGAATTGACACAGTTACTTTTGCTGATGATACTGTGCTTATGGGAGATTCTAAAGAAAAATTGCAAAGGTTAGTGGATGAGTTTGGGAATGTGTGTAAAGGTAGAAAGTTGAAAGTGAACATAGAAAAGAGTAAGGTGATGAGGGTATCAAATGATTTAGATAAAGAAAAATTGGATATCAAATTGGGGAGGAGGAGTATGGAAGAAGTGAATGTTTTCAGATACTTGGGAGTTGACGTGTCGGCAGATGGATTTATGAAAGATGAGGTTAATCATAGAATTGATGAGGGAAAAAAGGTGAGTGGTGCATTGAGGTATATGTGGAGTAAAAAAATGTTATCTATGGAGGCAAAGAAGGGAATGTGTGAAAGTATAGTAGTACCAACACTCTTATATGGGTGTAAAGCTTGGGTGATAAATGCAGCAGCGAGGAGACGGTTGGAGGCAGTGGAGATGTCCTGTTTAAGGGCAATGTGTGGTGTAAATATTATGCAGAAAATTCGGAGTGTGGAAATTAGGAAAAGGTGTGGAGTTAATAAAAGTATTAGTCAGAGGGCAGAAGAGGGGTTGTTGAGGTGGTTTGGTCATTTAGAGAGAATGGATCAAAGTAGAATGACATGGAAAGCATATAAATCTATAGGGGAAGGAAGGCGGGGTAGGGGTCGTCCTCGAAAGGGCTGGAGAGAGGGGGTAAAGGAGGTTTTGTGGGCAAGGGGCTTGGACTTCCAGCAAGCGTGCATGAGTATGTTAGATAGGAGTGAATGGAGACGAATGGTACTTGGGACCTGACTATCTGTTGGGAGTGTGAGCAGGGTAATATTTAGTGAAGGGATTCAGGGAAACCGGTTATTTTCATATAGTCGGACTTGAGTCCTGGAAATGGGAAGTACAATGCCTGCACTTTATTAAGGAGGGGTTTGGGATATTGGCAGTTTGGAGGGATATGTTGTGTATCTTTATATGTGTATGCTTCTAAACTGTTGTATTCTGAGCACCTCTGCAAAAACAGTGATAATGTGTGAGT